CAAATTGAAAACCCGCCAGCTTCAGCACACACAAACCCCTTCCCAGGAGCTGCCGTTACCATTCTGTGACCCTCTGGTTCCCTTTGGGAAAGAGGCACAGCCCACATCCAACAGATCACAGATGCCTGCCTGCCAGCAGAGGTCCAGGTATTTATTTCACACTTGCCTCGTCAGGAAAATCCTTGGGGTGTGGAGAAGTGAAACGGATCCTCATTTCTGGATCAATTCTGGAAACCTGGTCCAGAAGATGTGCAAAACGCAATCCTCCTGGCTTAGCTTTGTAGACAGTGCTAAAGCCACGACTGAGGACAGGGGCAGCAGCTGACTGGAACTGCACCTCAGACGTATCTCGAAAGCTGTTGACATTCTGACCCAAAAGAGTCACTTCTTTCACCCCCTACAAAGATAAACAGAGAGGAAAAAATGCAACCATACAGGATGTCCAAGCTGCAATGGCAGCTGTGGTTCTACTCTTACTTGAGGAAGAGTCCCCAGGGGGAACCCTCCCCTGTCCTGTCTGTCTCAGAGCATTGCAGTGGAAATCAAACAGCAACTGGAGGAGCCCTACTGCAACGTTACCTCCAGAGGTGAAGGCTGTGTCATCACCAAGAGGTATCTCTGAAAATACTTTCACGGAGAACCTGCCTGTGATTTGGGACAGGTGGGAAGCGAGCTCTGCCTCACCTGATCCGAGAGCATCTTCACTTCCTGCAGAATGGAAGCAATGGGGCGGCTCCTCTCACGGCCACGGGTGAAGGGCACAATGCAATAGCTGCACATGTTGTCACAGCCCCGCATGATAGATCTGCCGGGAGGCGAAGTACAGGTCACAACATGATCTCTCCGGAAGAATCACCCACGTTGCAGCCTGCCCTGCTTTGACCTGGCCCAGCACTGCTGCCTTCAGCCAACTTCCTCGTCTGCAGCACACACAGCACCAACTCCGAACACAGCTTTGCAGCTTTCCCCGACACACCACTCCAATCAGAGCTGACTTCTACTTGCCCCCTAGCTAACACCTCCTAGTTTTCCACACACATTTCCAGGAAACTCAGAAAGCAACTTACGGGATGCAGACTTGCACTGCAATCTGGCAGTGATGAAAGATCCTTCTGCACTCTGCTCCTAGAGAGGGTGACAACTGTCCCTCTGTACACTACAGACATACTGAGCAGAATCTGACTTCATTGTTTGGGAATCTTATCAAATCCAGACAAATGCAAATAAACCCCACAAAAATTACAACACATGGAGCATTAGAAGAGTTATATATAACCTGGGACAGCACATAGCAGAAGGCAGGGGATGAGAGAGGCACGAGCTTAGAAAGGGACAAATGTCAGTGGAACAGAAATCACTTGGTGCAGCAACAGGCTTAGACAACCAACGTTCTCCAAGGACACTAAGAGAAGCCTGCAGCCAGCCAGAGCACAGGGCAGTCTCTCCAGGGCTCAGTCAGACAGCAAAGAGACAGCAAACAGAGTCTAGGTGCCTCTGGGCTGTCGGGAGTGAGTGCGGCCAGGCATTGCCTGTTTTGGGTAGCTGCTGTCACTGGCATGTCTGTTCTGGGCAGCAATATTTTCAAACAAAAACCACAGAAACGTGCACAGAAAATAAGGTACTTACACAAATGCTGTTGTGCCACCTGCGCTAGTCTGGACAGGCAGAATATCTGCGTAAGTCTCATCTAGTGACAGCAGGACATTAGCAGCTTGCTGGCCAGACTCAGCCACGGCCAGCAGCCGAGGAAGGTCACGGTACGCATCGGGGCCTGCCACAATATCGACTAGCTTCTCCCTGTGCAGAATCTCCTCCTTAAGCCTCTCAGCCATGCATCCTGCCACCAAAAAGAAGGGTCCTTGTGAAGAACTGCCCACCCTCAGTCAGCCTGCTGTACCCCTTCCCTAGCTGTTTTCACCCTGCAGAAAAGGCTTGATGCCACCAGAGGGGAAAAAAAAAAGGAACATAACGGGATGTGGCACAACAGCGTGTGCTCCCCGCCGCCGCACAGCCCAGCAGGTACCTAGAATCCCGATGCGGAGGGGCAGGCGATCCTGCTGCCGCCGGGTTTTCAGTGCCTTGAGGTGCTGCAGGCGATTCCAGATAGCTTGCTCAGCCTTCTCCCTGGGAAACCAGGAAAAGAGGGGTTATTCCCATCACTGCACTTTAACAGTCCTCCAGCTCAAAGCAGCTCAAGTGCTTTCAGAGAACTGAGCTAAAGACAGAGAACCAAGAATCCTCCTGACGGATCTGATGGTACATGGAAGCGCTTCCTGTGCTGTGTAGATTATGTCTTGACTCATTTGCTACCATTTTGCTTGCTTAGGAACATCACCACTTCAGAAACTCCCAGACTAAGCTCTTGCAGAGAAAAAGTCTGCCTCAGCCAGCAAATATCAGCAACCTTGCAAGAGACAGTGCATGTTCAACATCTGCATGCAGGAAAAAAAAAACAACAAGCAAAGTTCCCTATATATTTATATCCCAAATATACCCTAAATGGATTTCCCAATTTTTTGTAGTACAGACCTTGTACTAAAGAGACAGGCACTTCAACCAAAGACAAGAGTCAAAAAGTAAAAAAATAAAAATCATACAAGCACAAATGCCTGTGAGTCTCTCACTGCCTGTGAGATATATACACAGCGTACACTACCAAGGAGCTTTTTCTCACCATACAGTAATTAATTACACAATTAGTGTTATGTATCATAACATCAACTAGCTCTAGCCGAAGCTAAATGGGCAGTTTCACATCTGCCTGCTGTTTTCAATACACAATGTATTTATCGCCTCAGTTTTCAAACTGCAATTCCTTTAAAACCACCCAAAAAGCAGCAGTGACAAAAGTTTCCTTACCTCACAGAACAGGTAACAAGCAGAATCACATCTGCCTAGATTGAGGATGACAGAGAAGGAAGGAGAAATTGTAAAAACTGCACACATAACCTGAACAGGCAGACTTCAAAACTCACTTAACTTAGCAAAAAGGATCTGCCTAAAACCACTTTGGGTTTCAATGACCAAATCTGCAAGAAAACTTAGCAGAAAACAAGCAGAGCCCTCCACAAAACAGAAGTAAACTCAGATAAAGATAAATCAGGAGCATCCCACTGTGTCCAATCCCCCGCCCCAGCTGAGAGGGAGTCCAGCAAAAAAAACAACCTGCAGCTTTCTGGCATGCTTGTTAGGTAGTTTCTTTTACTGCACCTACTCACGCTGCACAAATCCCACCACCCTGTGGGACAGCACTACTCAAGACAAGTCCTGGGACTTGGTGGTGTGCAGCTCTCCCAGGCCTGCTTTCCAGAGGAGCTGCCTCACCTCATCCACCTCCTTTGTCCTCGTGTAGCCGTTCTTCTGCAGGATGGCCCAAGCGATCTCTGTATCATTGACGTTCATCTGGCAGCCGTAGGTCTCCAGGTACACTGCAACAAAGGCAGAGATGGGGGTGACACAGATGTCCGCTGTGAATCGATCTCTCATTTACAAGCTCTTTCTATGATCCCCTCCACAGGAAGGAAGCTGCAGTCCCACAAGAGGCGAGCTGCACAAAAGGTACTCTCCCTTGCAGCTGATATAGAAAAGACAAGCCAAAATTAAAGGCAGGCTCTGCTGGTGGCACCGGGAAACCCGAATGCCCCCGAGCACATCACTCCAACACCAGAGGCCTGGACGGTGGCTAGCAGAGGGGCTGCAGCTCCTGCCCTACTGAGACACGGCTCTCGGTGCAATGAATGCCCCTCTCCCTGCAATTAATGCCCCTCTCCCCTGGGCACTGCACCCTGCGAGCCCTGCCACAGCTGCTGCTGGCAGCCCGGGGCGCCCACAGCCCCGCAGCTCGCCCACCACGACCCCCACCGGGGCTTCAGCCTGGCCTCGGCCCAGCGGGCAGGGCAGGGCCCGGCGGCACCGACCTGTGCCAGGCCCGGCGGCAGCGCCCCGCTCCGGCCCGGTGGACGGTGCCGGCCCGGGGGGGGCCCTCAGGAAATGCCTCAGGTCCGGCCCCGCGGGCAGCGCGGCCCCGCGGCCCCCCGGCCGCTCGCCGGGCCCGCAGCTCGCTCCGCGGGAGGCCCCGGGGCTGGCAGCCACCGAGCCGAGGCGCCCGGCCGCCCGCAGCACGCGGCCGCAGCCCTGCATGGCCGGGACCGGCACCGGGACCCGGGACGGGGACGGGGACGGGGACGGGGACGGGGACGGGGACGGGGACGGGGACGGGACCGGGACGGAGGCGGCGTGGCCCCGCTGTGCGCCGCCAGCAGCGGCCCCGCCGCGTCCCCGCCCCACATCCCCGCGTTCCGCTCCGGCACCGTTCCGCCGGGGCTGGCTCGGTCCCTGCAGCGTCCCAGCCCCCCCTCCCTAAAATAAATAAAGGGAAAAGCGCGATCGTGCCCGGTGTTTTTGACATAAAGGTGTCCTAAAAGACCCTCCCGGCCCCCTCTCCGCCCCGGTGACAGCACACGAAGGGGGATGGAACGAGGCAGGAACAGGAGTGATTTCCATGTGGTGTTTTTATATAAAAGGCTCAGAGCGGGGCGCAGCCCCCCCACAGGGCGCTGGAAGCCCCCCTGGCTGAGCAGGGCTTCGTACAGCACCGCGGGGAAGCGCTCGCTGGAGGTGAAGCACATGCAGGAGGGGAAAATGGCGCCAGGCCTCGTCCCAAGCCTCGGCTCTGTCAGCCCCAGCCTGGTGGTGGTCGGTGGCAGGAGAGGGCCCAGGACCCGCAGCAGCGGCGATTTGGGGTGGGCAGGGCCCACCCGGGGTCCCCTCAGCCCAGCCCGGGCCGTGGGGCTCGGCCCCTGGGGTGGTTCTGGCCCCTGCCCGTGCGTCTGCGGTTTGTCCTCTGGCTGCTCGGGCTGGGGCGGCCGATGAGTCAGGGTCTGGCAGAGCTGCTTGTTTGCTGTCTCGGCGGCGGGGACGGCGGCAGGGAGCTGGGGTTGGGAGCCAGGGGTGCGGGATGGGAACCGGGAACCCTCGGAGGGGCAGCACGGGGCAGGTGAGAGGGGGGCATTGTCGGCGCTGAAGGTCGCTGTGGTCGTCTTATCTGCCTCGCCTGGGCTGGTAGCGAACGTTGGCTCCAAAGAGCAGGAAATTCTAGGAGAAGGGGAGAGGAAGTCTGTGATGCGTCCTTGCAGCTGCTTTGCTGTTAGAGCCAGCCCTGCTCATCACCCGACGCTCTGGGGAGGGAGCGTGGGCACTGTGGTTCTGCCATCCTTGGCTAATTTTAGCTCTGGAAGGGCTCTGAAGATGTTCCACAGCCACACCCTGCCGTAAACATCCAGCACCCAGCCTGTGGCACTCCTCCGGGGCCTCCCCGGGCCTCCCCAAGTGAAGGATTCCTCCCTCCTGCCTGGGTCCGGGGCTGCAGCTGCTTGGCCACCACGCACAGAGCCCCGCCAGGCTCAGGGCTGAGCTGCCGCTGAGCTCCACTTACTATAAAAAGTGTCATGGGAAATTCGGGCCCCGGTTTTAAAATCTGCAGAACACAGCCCTGCCTGAGCCAGTGCCGTGTGTGAAATTTGCTTCATTCCCCCTTCTCCAGGCACCTTGCCTGGCCCCCGCCTCTCAGGGACGAGTGGCAGGACCGGCTCCAGACCCTCCACTCACCTCATGAAACTGCACGATGGGGTCGGAGAGCTGTACTTGGGCTGGCAGCGGCAGAGGGAAGCCCTTACCTAATCTCTCTGGAAAAGAAAACACACACAGCTGTGTTGGAACGAGAAGCGAGAGGGAGCAAGGGGCCGTGCAAAGCAGGCGGCCGCTTCCTACCCCCGGCCCTTCCTTTGCCCCCCCTGGCCTGGGAAGGCAGAGGGAGCTCCTCCAGGCTACGCTAAGGCCTGGGGGCTTCACGTTGTGCTGTGCCCCTGGGGCCCCTGGCAGCCTCCAGCCCCGCTCTGGCCTGATTTGTTCAGCTGTAATGAGAAGCAGTGAGCGGGGGAGAGGGTCTGGAAAGCATTAGGATGTGTGTCAGGCTCATTTTTTCCATTGCGTTCACTTCTGGATGTGTGTCACAGTGCAGAGAGGCTCCCGCACTCAGTTACCCACAGCCCTACTCTGCCAACCCCAAACACGCCGGGCGCTGCCGCTGCCTCCTCTCTGCAGGTTTTACCTCCTGAGCAGGCCTGGCAACAGGGGCTTAGTTAACAAACTGATGCCGGTAGAGTGACCTGAGTGGTGTCTGTTCCGGCAGCCCCATTCCCCCCAGCAGGTTATTACCATTAAGACGTGGCAGCAGGATACTGGAGGCAACTACGTTCATTATTGACTGCATCATTTTCACCTGGAGATACGGAGAGAGGGAGAAGGAAAAGAGCTTTAGTCTGTGGGAGAGCAGGTGACCAGATCTCGCAGGATAATTAGGAAGAGTTAAAATAAAGGAGAAACTGTGATGGGCGCACACTTCACCAGAGACCTGTGGTTTTGTCTGGGCCATACGGGTAGAGTAGGAAGCATAGTGGTAAAAAAGGGGATAGTGGCCAGCTCTGCTCCCTCGCCCAGGCTCACAGGGAGGTGCCCGTGGGGTCAGCATCCCTTGGTGGTGGGGGTGAGGGAGTGAGTCCCTTCCTCAGCACCTGGCAGGCTCTCACCTCCATGTCAGGAACAGCTTACCTTGAAAGTGCCAGTGCCAACATTTGAATGCTTCAGCGTGAGCTTCATCCTGTGCGGAGGGAAGCAGAGCTTTGCAGTGCCCGTGGCCGTCCCACTCCCTCCAGCCCCAGCTCATCCCCTTTGCCCCAGGTCCCCATCCCCAGCACCCCCCTCAGCAGCGGTTCATCGGGACCTGCAGCTCACCTGCCCACGGCCAGGCTCCCAACCATGCGGCCGGACTGCACATCCGCGGTGGCAGACACGTTGCCTGTCTGAGGAAAGAGGCAGAGCTCTGGCGGTGCCCCCCCAGCTCCTCCCAAAACGGGCGCAGTGAGCTCAGAGCAGCCCAAAGGCAGCCAGACCGCCCTCCCATCAGGGCCCCGTTCGCACCCAGTGTGAAAACCAGCATTTGTGAGCTCGGGTATTTCTGCTGGGGTCACCCCATGTGCCCGACCGGGCTGGTTGCAGGAGGCAGCTCTCAGCAGGAGCACAGCATGGATGGCACAGGATTGCCAAACACGATGGGAGGGGGCTGCACAGCTCGGGAGCTCCCACCTTTGCTCACCGAGGTGCAGGCAATGGTGCCTCACGGGGCACCATGTCAGACTGGGGCTGTGCGAGGGGCTCCCCACCGCAGCCCTGGACCCCAACTCACCAATCCGAGGAGGAAGAGGGGGGCCAGGTTGCCATTGGGATAGATGGCGTAAGCCTGGATGTCCACAACAGGCTGGAGCGAGACCCCGTTTGTTCCGATGTTCAGGAACGGGGCGGAGGGAGCAGACAGCCTGAACTTCATCGGCATGTTGGGGTACATCTCGTCCAGCTGCAAAGGAGCAGGGAGAGGGGAGGAACTGCAGCACAAAACCTCCTGTGGCTCTGCAGCCTGCTGTTGCCGAGCTCCTTCCCGTGCCAGCAGCTCATGGAGTGCAAGGATGCAGTACCCAGAGCATGGCCCCACTGTGAACCCCCCTCACTGGGAACCTGGGGCTGGGCTCTCTGGGGGGCCACCTCGCACAGAGCCTGTGCTGGGCAGGGCCGGGGCTCACCTGGGGAAGGAAGGCTGCAAAGGTGGAGGTGTTCAAACGGAATTCGATGTCCTTCGGGATCTGCGGGAAGAGGATGGTTACTGCCCGGCACTGCAGCGTGGTGCTGGGGCAGCGCCACGCTGCTGGGGCAGGATCAGCCCCTCGAGCCCCTCGTGCATCTCAGCCCCTGCCCTGTGCCCAGAGCAGCTCCACGGGGAAGTGTGGAGGAGCCCTGTGAGTCTGCCAGCCACTGACCCCACACCTCTACTCCTTACCATGGCGTCTGTGATTTCGAAGATGAGTGCCCCAGCCGTGTGGTAGGCGAAGCTGGCGGTGTTGAAGAAGTAGCTGGAGACCCCGAAGTAAACCATGCGGTTGTGTTCGGGAGGAACGGCCAGCGCTGGCGGAGTGAAGGGGACGGGGGTGCGCTGTGCCAGGGAGAAGCATTCGCCCTGGAAGGACAGGAGTGGGTGAAACGTGGGGGTGGTGACTGACCCCCGCCTCCCTCCTGCCCCCTGCAACGGCAGCAGCCACACAGAGCTTCCCGAGGGCAGCCTCTCACCTTCAGGTCCACGTTGAGGAACTGGGCAGTGGCAACCGGGGCTGCTGTCAAGGAGTAATCGATCCCAGCCACGGCATCTATGTTGGCTGTGACTGCAAGACACGGGGCAGAGGATGAGCGAGAGCCAGGAGCAGCTTCCCTCTGCTGACACCTGGGCAGAGCCTTGCCCCTGCTTCCTGGTGCAACAGCAAAATAGCAGTTTCACACGCGTTCGCTTCTGTTTAGAAATAAAAATTGCATTTTCCTCTTCACTCTGTTTCTCAGCCATGCAAACTAACTCCTGGACCTGAGACACCATCCGGGTCTCCTTGCCAGGGCAGCCCGTGCTCCGCCAGCCCTGGGGCACGGCTCAGGGGAGGCTGCGTGCGGGTGCCCGGTCTCGGCACGGTCTCTCCCCATGGGAGGACTGAGTGCGTGGTGACAACTCTGCTGTGTGGTGCTCCACAGTTCCCGGCACATGTGCAGAAATACAAAGAAATGGAGAGTGGGCACAAGGTAAAACACCATCCCCATGGCCAGGAAATGCTAGGAAGAAACACTCCCCAAGCCCCGGGCAGTGCTCACACAGTACCTGGTACGGTCTGGAGGTACGGCTGGAGGTATCTTCTGGCAGAGCTACGCAGGGTTTCACAGACCTGGGGAAACAAAGGCAACAGAGCTCAGCAGCCTGGCTCTGTTGGGACACACAGCCCTGGGTGGGAGCCTCGGGCATGTGCTCTGCTGCCCGGTGCTGTTTGTATTCTTTGCAAAAGCCCGCTTAGATAAAAGACAACTCAGTGACGTTCTTCTCTATTTATCAGACGGTACTTAATTAAGTATCTGAGAGACAGGCAGCGTTTATACCTGCAAATATCTGCTTACGGCAGGTTCCCCACACAGTTTAGCTGCACTGGGGCCCTTTGAAGGATTCTCAGCTGTGTCCTCAGACTTCCTACAGTCTCTGCGGGAATGCTTTGTGCTGAGCGGTTACGACTCAGCAGAAGCAGAGCAACTGAAAGATTTAATCTGCCCCTGAAGGGGCAGGAGCGCTCCTACCTGTGCACCCACAAAGCACAGCTGTGGAGCTGGGGCAGCTTTGTGCTGCCAGGGGAGAGGAGCAAATCCCTCTGCCACTGTCATCCACAGGCAAAGCCTCAGCATTAGTGGAGGATTTAAATGCAGCCTAAATGCTGGCTCAGGAATTTACTGCAGGGAGCAGTCCTGTAGACGGCCGAGATAATCTGCACAATCTCTCTTGCAATGCCATCCTGGCACAAGAACCCCCGTGCAGGATGAGGCCATCATTTGCCCGACCAGGCAGCCAGCTGGCAGCCGCTGACAGCAAGATGCGGAGCTCGGGGGGAGCAGCGGCCGCGCTGGCAACTCCTGGTGGCTGGCTGCACTGCTGGGAGGAAGAGGAGGGATGGAGCCGTGGGCATGATTTTATCAGCAGAGGCTTGCTGGTAAGCTGCCTGTCCCCCTGCCTAGTAGAATAGAATCATAGAACAGAACAGTCCACTTGGAAGGGACCTACAGAGATCATCAAGTCCAAATTTGTCTGCAGGTGCTGGGCCCCCAGGTCCCTCCTGGCCCCTGGGCACTGCCCAGCCCCGCAGCAAGAGCTGCAGGCGCCCACAGGTTGCTGGAGCAAGACTGGGACAGGGACGGGGCTGAGCAGGGTCCTGCAGCACTCCCAGCCCTGCCCTCTCCTCTGCTCCATCTCAAGCAGGGAGAAAGCCCCTGGAGAAACGCGTGTCTGGCAAAGGGGCTGGGCTGCTGGGGCAGATTCCCCAGCTGCCTCCTTCCAGGAGATACCACAGCCTGAAAGCCTTTCTGTCCAGCCCCAGCCTCGCTCCTGCTGCCAGCCCATCTGCTGCCAGGGCTCCAGGTGGCCCCCAGGCAGCACGAGATGGCATCGGCTAGAGCCAAATGCGCCCCGGCCCGGACCCGACCTGCAGCAGGGTGGGATTTGCCTGCTCTCCAACTGCCTCCTTCCTGAGCAAGGTTCACGGCCAGGGAGGTTGTAGCTCCTGCCAGCGAGCCTTGTAGTAATTATTGCTAACAGCTTGTTTCCATGTCTTGATGCGAGTCTCCTGCATGTAGGCTTTTGTACGGGGCTGAAGGTACCAGGGCTTCCCTGGTGCACCCCGTTACAAGACGGCAAGCGGCTGAAATCCAGAGATGAGGATTTCTAACCTATTGCTCCCAAAAGCACATATGAGTGCAGGCCATTTAAAGGGCAGCTCTGAGCGGGTTTCCTCTGTTACAATGAGTTTGGCTGAGGCCTAAGATCTAATTAACTGACCACATGGAAGGAGAAGTATTTGTTAATTGGGAACCAATTATACTGGGCTTTGGCAAATGCTGCATGTTTAGAATCCAGCCCAAGCCATGTGATGCTGTGGGGACTGCACTTAGCATGTGCCCATTCCTCACAGTTTCCACCAAATCAGCACTGTGCCCGTACGCTCTGGCCCTGCTTAAATCCGTAGGTGTGACCTGAGCCCTTGAAACGTCTGTTACAAGGGAGGGCTACAGATCACCAGAAAGCCTGGAGCTCTACCAAGCTTCTTTCACGTACCTTGTCCTCCAAGTTTTCCTTGAATTTGGACGCAATGGTTTTACGGAAGAGGTTGTAAAGCCAACTGCAGAGAAAAGGAGAGAGGGAGTCATTTTTGCTCTAGCTCGGAGGATTCTGCAGAAGTATTGATGCAGGAAAGGGAGACACCAGAGCTGTGGGACACTGGGGAGTGCCATTCCCATGCCAGCCTGGAGTCAAGCTTTGCCTCAGGGTTTACATTTGCAAACAAACCTGCTTGTAAACAACATGCATACAAGTCTCGTGACTGCCCCGAAACTTCTCCCTTAAATGTGCAACCACAGCAGGACAAGCTCACAGCAGATTCAGGCACATACTGTGCCTGGCAGCCACCTTCCTATCCCAGCTGGGCTAACACGCAGGATTTCTAGGCCTTCATGGTGATGTTACCTCAATTTGCCTGAAAAGTGTACGCGGACATTGGAGATACTGGTGCTGCAGGCAGAGATATCAACCGTCGGCTTCCCAGAGTCATCTCTGCCCAGCTTCAGGATGGTCTTGATGTATATGTGCTCCACGTTCAGGTTGAATGACCCATGGTGCCGGCTGCAGGGAGAGGGAGGACAAGAAAAGGGGCAGTTGTCAGCAGTGGGTCCTGGTGCAGGGACCCAGAGCTTCCAGAGGGGTCTGTCTGCCTCAGGCTCTGCTTGCAGTGAGCATCCAGAGGAGACCGAGAAGGCTTTTAAACTCAGGAAAACTGAATTTCATTGGAATATAAACTAGGCAAGGTAGCCTTTAAACAGAAAGAACCGAAAGTAAGCCGGGGAGATGGCAGAGAAGCGGGTGAGTTCACACACAGCTCTCAGCATCCGCCCAGCTCTTCCTTCCCAGCCCGTTTCATCAGCAGCTTTCTGAGCAGCAGCACCCTCTGCACAGGCTGTTCCCGTGGGTGCTCAGGGGGCTGCTTCCTGGCCCCAGCCCAGCTCGAACGAGCAGGAGGGACCAACCCCATGTGCCCAGGTAAGGGGAGATGTCACTCATGTTACCTCCCCGACCATTTGCAAGAGGCATGAGCGCTGCCTGGCCAGCTGCGGGTGCCCTGGCATGGGGAGAGGGACCTTGCGGTGCTCCCCCGGGGCAGGACTAAAGCAGCTGCAGCCCAGCTGGGGGAGTCAGGACATCCACAGGTAACAAAGCAAGGGCTGCCCGAACCATGAAGGAGGCAGAGGAGGGAAAAAAGCTCATCCAGATTCAGAGAGGGAAATGCAGAGTGAGGTGCCTGTGCCAGGGACAGCCGAGTACCCACAGGATGCGCAGCTTCACACGCCAGTTCCCGTCCAGCTCAGCAAAGGCGTTGGAGATGGAGACTTGCAGGCCCTCGTTGGGGACCAGGGAAATCTGCGAGTGTGGCAACTGGAAATCGCGAAGGTTCAATCTGAAATAAATAAAATAAAATAAAATAAAATAAAATAAAATAAAATAAAATAAAATAAAATAAAATAAAATAAAATAAAATAAAATAAAATAAAATAAAATGGCATGTGAGAGGGAGTGCCTCACACTGGATGCCCAGCTGGGGAGGGCAGGAGCGAAGGCACCGTGCCGGCAGCATCCCCAGCTCCCATCCTGCTCCCACTGGCAGGGCTCACCCGGAGATCTCGTAGCGCACCTTCCCCAAGACCGGGATTCGGGATTCACCCGAGATGTCTTGCAGCTTCAGCTGGGCCAGCTCCTCCTCCAAGATAGCAACCCCGTGCTGCTTGGCTGCGGGGGCAAAGAAACAGCATCATGGTCATGCACTCCCAAGGGAGCCAGGAACGTGCAGCAGGTGCATGGCAAAAGGGTTAAAGGAGACACCAGTGGCCTGGCTGCTCTCCACTGTGCAAGCTCTTGCTGGAGCTAATCTTTGTGCAGCACAGAGCCCTGCAAGTTTGCAGGCATTGCCTAATGTCTGCTTGCTTGCAAGCCCTGGGGAAGGTGGCAGCCAGGCAGCAGGAAAAAGGAGGAGCCAGTCCCGTGCAGCAGCTCCGTGCTGCTCCATGCCCTGTGCCAGCAGGCAAAGCCAGGCAGAGCCCCCGTCCTGGGGTGTGGGCGAGTGCTGCAGCCCTGCACCCGTCTGGGAAGGGGAGCCACGTCCTCCCCCGACAGCTAGCAAAGCCGCTGGGTAAATGAACTGTTTCTCACACAGTGTATTTCAATCCATAACAGCGCTTCACTGGAGCCGGGGCCCTGCCTGCCTCAATAAACCCAGCACAGAGCCCATCCATCTCCGTCACCGCCTTCCTGGCACCTCCCCACCGCCTCCCTCCACCGCAGCTCGCTCCTCTGGGGCTCAGACTCGGCTGCTTGGATGCGTGCCATGAGCGGGGGGCCCTCCTGCCCCGCCAGCCCTGTGCCTCCTCGAGCCGGGATCTCCCCTGTTGCCACCTGGGTGCAGCCCTCAGCCCCCCGCAGGGCCTGGCTGCTCTGCACGGACTCGGTGGAGACAGCGGCAGGGGAAGATGGGGACATCAGGGTGATGCTGCCTTTGGCACTCATGGCCAAGGCTGCCCCTGTCCTGCCCCAGAACTGCATGAGCATCCAGCTCTGCACCTCAGCCACCAGCACCTGCAAGAGAGGAGGGAGATTAGGAGCCAAACCCACCATAGTCCAAGCCAGCCTGGGTGATCCTGACCACAAAGCCAGGGTTGGTGGCCCCACTGAGCGCCAGTCCCAAAGCCAGCACGGTGCTGGCCACCAAAAGGCTCCGCACTCCCATCCTGGCTGTCTGACGGTGCCGTGCTGCTGCCTGGCTCTCTCTGCCCACAGCGCCTTTATATCCCCACCAAAAGGGGAACTGCGGACGAAGCAGGATGCAGATCCGCTTCTGCAGCCCACGCGGGGCATCCCCTCAGCCTGGTGCTTCCTGCTTGGCCGCTGCCCTTCTCCCAAAGCGGTGGGGAAGGCAGGTGAGGACCTGGAGCTAACGGCCTCAGCCCCGTGCCAGGGGCTCGCAGCCCCTCCCCACAGCAGCAGCTGCCCAGGCACAGACGAGCCGCTGGCCTCGGCTCCCTGCTGCTGGCTGAGTTTATGGGGCACTTGTTTGCTTTTTGCCCTGCCCGGTTGCTTTGCCCTCCACCCAGCAAAGGCTGCCCCCGTCCTGCCCCGTGGGGCCCCTGCTGTGCCCTGACAGCTGCCACCAGCACGACCCAGACCCTGGTTGTAGCATTACCACTGGAACAGCCTTGGGGCAGAACAAGGGCTAAAGTTACGTCTTTTTGTGTCCTGCAAGTAAATCCCAAGCCACCTCACACCCAGGGGCTGGCCAAGAGGCCCCTGCCTCATGTTGTGAGTGCCCCCAGCTCTCCCAGGCCTGCTTTCCAGAGGAGCTGCCTCACCTCATCCACCTCCTTTGTCCTCGTGTAGCCGTTCTTCTGCAGGATCGCCCAAGCGATCTCTGTATCATTGACGTTCATCTGGCAGCCGTAGGTCTCCAGGTACACTGCAACAAAGGCAGAGATGGGGGTGACACAGATGTCCGCTGTGAATCGATCTCTCATTTACAAGCTCTTTCTATGATCCCCACCACAGGAAGGAAGCTGCAGTCCCACAAGAGGCGAGCTGCACAACAGGTACTTTCCCTTCCAGCTGATATAGAAAAGACAAGCCAAAATTAAAGGCAGGCTCTGCTGGTGGCACCGGGAAACCCGAATGCCCCCGAGCACATCACTCCAACACCAGAGGCCTGGATGGTGGCAAGCAGAGGGGCTGCAGCTCCTGCCCTACTGAGACACGGCTCTCGGTGCAATTAATGCCCCTCTCACAAGCCCTGCCACAGCTGCTGCCGGCACCCCGGGGTGCCCACAGCCCCGCAGCTCTCCCACCACGACCCCCACCGGGGCTACAGCCTGGCCTCAGCTCAGCGGGCAGGGCAGGGCAGGGCAGGGCAGGGCCCGGCGGCACCGACCTGTGCCAGGCCCGGCGGCAGCGCCCCGCTCCGGCCCGGTGGACGGTGCCGGCCCGGGGGGGGCCCTCAGGAAGTGCCTCAGGTCCGGCCCCGCGGGCAGCGCGGCCCCGCGGCCCCCCGGCCGCTCGCCGGGCCCGCAGCTCGCTCCGCGGGAGGCCCCGGGGCTGGCAGCCACCGAGGCGAGGCGCCCGGCCGCCCGCAGCACGCGGCCGCAGCCCTGCATGGCCGGGACCGGGACCGGGACCGGGACCGGGGACGGGGACGGGGACGGGACCGGGACCGGGACCGGGACCGGGACGGAGGCGGCGCGGCCCCGGTGTGCGCCGCCAGCAGCGGCCCCGCCGCGTCCCCGCCCCGCATCCCCGCGTTCCGCTCCGGCACCGTTCCGCCGGGGCTGGCTCGGTCCCTGCAGCGTCCCAGCCCCCCCTCCCTAAAATAAATAAAGGGAAAAGCGCGATCGTGCCCGGTGTTTTTTGACATAAAGGTGTCCTAAAAGGCCCTCCCGGCCCCCTCTCCACCCCGGTGACAGCACACGAAGGGGGATGTAACGAGGCAGTAACAGGAGTGATTTCCATGTGGTGTTTTTATATAAAAGGCTCAGAGAGGGACGCAGCCCCCCCACAGGGCGCTGGAAGCCCCCCTGGCTGAGCAGGGCTTCGTACAGCACCGCGGGGAAGCGCTCGCTGGAGGTGAAGCACATGCAGGAGGGGAAAATGCCGCCAGGCCTCGTCCCAAGCCTCGGCTCTGTCAGCCCCAGCCTGGTGGTGGTCGGTGGCAGGAGAGGGCCCAGGACCCGCAGCAGCGGCGATTTGGGGTGGGCAGGGACCTCCCGGGGTCCCCTCAGCCCAGCCCGGGCCGTGGGGCTCGGCCCCTGGGGTGGTTCTGGCCCCCGCCCGTGCGTCTGCGGTTTGTCCTCTGGCTGCTCGGGCCGGGGCGGCCGATGAGTCAGGGTCTGGCAGAGCCGCTTGTTTGCTGTCTCGGCGGCGGGGACGGCGGCAGGGAGCTGGGGGTGGGAGCCAGGGGTGCGGGATGGGAACCAGGAACCCTCGGAGGGGCAGCACGGGGCAGGTGAGAGGGGGGCGTTGTCAGCGCTGAAGGTTGCTGCAGTCGTCTTATCTGCCTCGCCTGGGCTGGTAGCGAACGTTGGCTCCAAACAGCAGGAAATTCTAGGAGAAGGGGAGAGGAAGTCTGTGATGCGTCCTTGCAGCTGCTTTGCTGTTAGAGCCAGCCCCGCTCATCACCCGACGCTCTGGGGAGGGAGCGTGGGCACTGTGGTTCTGCCATCCTTGGCTAATTTTAGCTCCGGAAGGGCTCTGAAGATGTTCCACAGCCACACCCTGCCGTAAACATCCAGCACCCAGCCTGTGGCACTCCTCTGGGGCCTCCCCGGGCCTCCCCAAGTGAAGGATTCCTCCCTCCTGCCTGGGTCCGGGGCTGCAGCTGCTCGGCCGCCGTGCACAGAGCCCCGCCAGGCTCCGGGCTGAGCTGCCGCTGAGCTCCACTTACTATAAAAAGTGTCATGGGAAATTCGGGCCCCGGTTTTAAAATCTGCAGAACACAGCCCTGCCTGAGCCTCTGCCGTGTGTGAAATTTGCTTCATTCCCCCTTCTCCAGGCACCTTGCCTGGCCCCCGCCTCTCAGGGACGAGTGGCAGGACCGGCTCCAGACCCTCCACTCACCTCATGAAACTGCACGATGGGGTCGGAGAGCTGTACTTGGGCTGGCAGCGGCAGAGGGAAGCCCTTACCTAATCTCTCTGGAAAAGAAAACACACACAGCTGTGTTGGAACGAGAAGCGAGAGGGAGCAAGGGGCCGTGCAAAGCAGGCGGCCGCTTCCTACCCCCGGCCCTTCCTTTGCCCCCCCTGCCCTGGGAAGGCAGAGGGAGCTCCTCCAGGCTACGCTAAGGCCTGGGGGCTTCACGTTGTGCTGTGCCCTTGGGGCCCCTGGCAGCCTCCAGCCCCGCTCTGGCCTGATTTGTTCAGCAGTAATGAGAAGCAGTGAGCGGGGGAGAGGGTCTGGAAAGCATTAGGATGTGTGTCAGGCTCATTTTTTCCATTGCGTTCACTTCTGGATGTGTGTCACAGTGCAGAGAGGCTCCCGCACTCAGTTACCCACAGCCCTCCTCTGCCAACCCCAAACACGCCGGGTGCTGCCGCTGCCTCCTCTCTGCAGGTTTTACCTCCCGAGCAGGCCTGGCAACAGGGGCTTAGTTAACAAACTGATGGAGTGACCTGAGTGGTGTCTGTTCCAGCAGCCCCATTCCCCCCAGCAGGTTATTACCATTAAGACGTGGCAGCAGGATACTGGAGGCAACTACGTTCATTATTGACTGCACCGTTTTCACCTGGAGATACGGAGAGAGGGAGAAGGAAAAGAGCTTTAGTCTGTGGGAGAGCAGGTGACCAGATCCCGGAGGATAATTAGAAAGAGTAAAATAAAGCAGAAGCTGGGATGGGTGCACGCTTCACCAGAGACCTACAGTTTTGTCTCGGCCATGCTGGCGGAGTAGGAAGCATAGGGGTGAAAAAGGGGATAGTGGCCAGCTCTGCTCCCTCACACAGGCTCACAGGGAGGTGAGCTGTGGGGTCAGCATCCCTTGGTGGTGGGGGTGAGGGGGTGAGTCCCTTCCTCAGCACCTGGCAGGCTCCCACCTCCATGTCAGGGACAGCTTACCTTGAAAGTGCCGGTGCCAACATTTGAATGCTTCAGCGTGAGGTTCATACTGTGCGGAGGGAAGCAGAGCTTTACAGTGCCCGTGGCCGTCCCACTCCCTCCAGCCCCAGCTCATCCCCTCTGCCCCAGGTCCCCATCCCCAGCACCCCCCTCAGCAGCGGTTCATCGGGACCTGCAGCTCACCTGTCCACGGCCAGGCTCCCAACCATGCGGCCGGACTGCACGTTCGTGGTGGCAGACACGTTGCCTGTCTGAGGAAAGAGGCAGAGCTCTGGCAGTGCCCCCCCAGCTCCTCCCAAAACAGGAAAAGGGGGCTCAGAGCAGCCCAAAGGCAGCCAGACCGCCCTCCCATCAGGGCCCCGTTCGCACCCAGTGTGAAAACCAGCATTTGTGAACTCGGGTATTTCTGCTGGGGTCACCCCATGTGCCCGACTGGGCTGGTTGCAGGAGGCAGCTCTCAGCAGGAGCACGGCATGGATGGCACAGGATTGCCAAACACGATGGGAGGGGGCTGTACAGCTCGGGAGCTCCCACCTTTGCTCACCGAGGTGCAGGCAGTGCTCACGGGGCACCACGTCAGACTGGGGCTGTGCGAGGGGCTCCCCAGCCGGGCCCAGTGACCCCACCGCAGCCCTGGACCCCAACTCACCAATCCGAGGAGGAAGAGGGGGGCCAGGTTGCCGTTGGGATAGATGGCGTAAGCCTGGATGTCCACAACAGGCTGGAGCGAGACCCCGTTTGTTCCGATGTTCAGGAACGGGGCGGAGGGAGCAGACAGCCTGAACTTCATCGGCATGTTGGGGTACATCTCGTCCAGCTGCAAAGGAGCAGGGAGAGGGGAGGAACTGCAGCACAAAACCTCCTGTGGCTCTACAGCCTGCTGCTGCTGAGCTCCTTCCCGTGCCAGCAGCCCACAGAGTGCAGGGATGCAGCACCCAGAGCACGGCCCCACTGCGAACCCCCCTCACTGGAAACCTGGGGCTGGGCTCTCTGGGGGGGCTGCCTCACACAGAGCCTGTGCTGGGCAGGGCCGGGGCTCACCTGGGGAAGGAAGGCCGCGAAGGTGGAGGTGTTCAAACGGAATTCGATGTCCTCCGGGATCTGTGGGAGGAGGATGGTTACTGCCTGGCACTGCAGCGTGGCGCTGGGGCAGGATCAGCCCCTCGAGCCCCTCGTGCATCTCAGCCCCTGCCCTGTGCCCAGAGCAGCTCCACGGGGAAGTGTGGAGGAGCTCTGCGAGTCTGCCAGCCGCTGACCCCACACCTCTCCTCCTTACCATGGCGTCCGTGATTTCGAAGACGAGTGCCCCAGCCGTGTGGTAGGCGAAGCTGGCAGTGTTGAAGAAGTAGCTGGAGACCCCGAAGTAAACCATGCGGTTGTGTACGGGAGGAACGGCCAGCGCTGGCGGAGTGAAGGGGACGGGGGTGCGCTGTGCCAGGGAGAAGCATTCGCCCTGGAAGGACAGGAGTGGGTGAAGCAGGGCTGGTGGGGCTCAGCCAGGCAGGGGAATGGCATTTGCAGGTGGTGACTGACCCGCGCCTCCCTCCTGGCCCCTGCAATGGCATCAGCCACACTGAGCTTCCCGAGGGCAGCCTCTCACCTTCAGGCCCACGTTGAGGAACTTGGCAGTGGCAACCGGGGCTGCTGTCAAGGAGTAATCGATCCCAGCCACGGCATCTATGTTGGCTGTGACTGTAAGACACGGGGCAGAGGATGAGCGAGAGCCAGGAGCAGCTTCCCTCTGCTGACACCTGGGCAGAGCCTTGCCCCTGCTTCCTGGTGCAACGGCGCAATAGCAGTTTAACACGTGTTTGCTTCTGTTTAGAAATAAAAATTGCATTTTCCTCTTCACTTTGTTTCTCAGCCATGCAAACTAACTCCTGGACCTGAGACACCACCTGGGTCCCCTGTGCCCAGTCTCAGCACAGTCTCTCCCTGTGGGAGGACGGAGTGCATGGTGACAGCTCTGCTGTGTGGTGCTCCACAGCTCCCGGCACATGTGAGGAAATACAAAGAAATGGAGAGTGGGCACAAGGTAAAACACCATCCCCATGGCCAGGAAATGCTAGGAAGAAACGCTCCCCAGGCCCCGTGCAGTGCTCACACAGTACCTGGTACGGTCTGGAGGTACGGCTGGAGGTATCTTCTGGCAGAGCTACGCAGGGTATCACAGAGCTGGGGAAACAAAGGCAACAGAGCTCAGCAGCCTGGCTCTGCTGGGACACACAGCCCTGGGTGGGAGCCTCGGGCATGTGCTCTGCTGCCCGGTGCTGTTTGTATTCTTTGCAAAAGCCCGCTTAGATAAAAGACAACTCAGTGACGTTCTTCTCTATTTATCAGACGGTACTTAATTAAGTATCTGAGAGACAGGCAGCGTTTATACCTGCAAATATCTGCTTACGGCAGGTTCCCCACACAGTTTAGCTGCACTGGGGCCCTTTGAAGGATTCTCAGCTGTGTCCTCAGACTTCCTACAGTCTCTGCGGGAATGCTTTGTGCTGAGCGGTTACGACTCAGCAGAAGGAGAGCAACTGAAAGATTTAATCTGCCCCTGAAGGGGCAGGAGCGCTCCTACCTGTGCACCCACAAAGCACAGCTGTGGAGCTGGGGCAGCTTTGTGCTGCCAGGGGAGAGGAGCAAATCCCTCTGCTGCTGTCATCTACAGGCAAAGCCTCAGCATTAGTGGAGGATTTAAATGCAGCCTAAATGCTGGCTCAGGAATTTACTGCAGGGAGCAGTCCTGTAGACGGCCGAGATAATCTGCACAATCTCTCTTGCAATGCCATCCTGGCACAAGAACCCCCGTGCAGGATGAGGCCATCATCTGCCCGACCAGGCAGCCAGCTGGCAGCAGCTGACAGCAAGATGCGGAGCTCGGGGGGAGCAGCGGCCGCACTGGCAGCTCCTGGTGGCTGGCTGCACTGCTGGGAGGAAGAGGAGGGATGGGGCCGTGGGCATGATTTTATCAGCAGAGGCTTGCTGGTAAGCTGCCTGTCCCCCTGCCTAGTAGAATAGAATCATAGAACAGAACAGTTCACTTGGAAGGGACCTACAGAGATCATCAAGTCCAAATTTGTCTGCAGGTGCTGGACCCCCAGGTCCCTCCTGGCCCCTGGACACTGCCCAGCCCCGCAGCAAGAGCTGCAGGCGCCCACAGGTTGCTGGAGCAAGACTGGGACAGGGACGGGGCTGAGCAGGGTCCTGCAGCACTCCCAGCCCTGCCCTCTCCTCTGCTCCATCTCAAGCAGGGAGAAAGCCCCTGGAGAAACGCGTGTCTGGCAAAGGGGCTGGGCTGCTGGGGCAGATTCCCCAGCTGCCTCCTTCCAGGAGATACCACAGCCTGAAAGCCTTTCTGTCCAGCCCCAGCCTCGCTCCTGCTGCCAGCCCATCTGCTGCCAGGGCTCCAGGTGGACCCCAGGCAGCACGAGATGGCATCGGCCAGAGCCAAATGCGCCCCGGCCCGGACCCGACCTGCGGCAGGGTGGGATTTGCCTGCTCTCCAACTGCCTCCTTCCTGAGCAAGGTTCACGGCCAGGGAGGTTGTAGCTCCTGCCAGCGAGCCTTGTAGTAATTATTGCTAACAGCTTGTTTCCATGTCTTGATGTGAGTCTCCTGCATGTAGGCTTTTGTACGGGGCTGAAGGTACCAGGGCTTCCCTGGTGCACCCCGTTACAAGATGGCAAGCGGCTGAAATCCAGAGATGAGGATTTCTAACCTATTGCTCCCAAAAGCACATGTGAGTGCAGGCCATTTCAAGGGCAGCTCTGAGCGGGTTTCCTCTGTTACAATGAGTTTGGCCGAGGCCTAAGATCTAATTAACTGACCACATGGAAAGAGAAGTATTTGTTAATTGGGAACCAATTATACAGGGCTTTGGCAAATGCTGCATGTTTAGAATCCAGCCCAAGCCATGTGATGCTGTGGGGACTGCACTTAGCATGTGCCCATTCCTCACAGTTTCCACCAAATCAGCACTGTGCCCGCACGCTCTGGCCCTGCTTAAATCTGTAGGTGTGACCTGAGCCCTTGAAACGTCTGTTACAAGGGAGGGCTACAGATCACCAGAAAGCCTGGAGCTCTACCGAGCTTCTTTCACGTACCTTGTCCTCCAAGTTTTCCTTGAATTTGGACGCAATGGTTTTACGGAAGAGGTTGTAAAGCCAACTGCAGAGAAAAGGAGAGAGGGAGTCATTTTTGCTCTAGCTCGGAGGATTCTGCAGAAGTATTGATGCAGGAAAGGGAGACACCGGAGCTGTGGGACACTGGGGAGTGCCATTCCCATGCCAGCCTGGAGTCAAGCTTTGCCTCAGGGTTTACATTTGCAAACAAACCTGCTTGTAAACAACATGCATACAAGTCTCGTGACTGCCCCGAAACTTCTCCCTTAAATGTGCAACCACAGCAGGACAAACTCAGAGCAGATTCAGGCACATACTGTGCCTGGCAGCCACCTTCCTATCCCAGCTGGGCTAACACGCAGGATTTCTAGGCCTTCATGGTGATGTTACCTCAATTTGCCTGAAAAGTGTACGCGGACATTGGAGATACTGGTGCTGCAGGCAGAGATATCAACCGTCGGCTTCCCAGAGTCATCTCTGCCCAGCTTCAGGATGGTCTTGATGTATATGTGCTCCACGTTCAGGTTGAACGACCCATGGTGCCGGCTGCAGGGAGAGGGAGGACAAGAAAGGGGGCAGTTGTCAGCAGTGGGTCCTGGTGCAGGGACCCAGAGCTTCCAGAGGGGTCTGTCTGCCTCAGGCTCTGCTTGCAGTGAGCATCCAGAGGAGACCGAGAAGGCTTTTAAACTCAGGAAAACTGAATTTCATTGGAATATAAACTAGGCAAGGTAGCCTTTAAACAGAAAGAACCGAAAGTAAGCCGGGGAGATGGCAGAGAAGTGGGTGAGTTCACACACAGCTCTCAGCATCCGCCCAGCTCTTCCTTCCCAGCCCGTTTCATCAGCAGCTTTCTGAGCAGCAGCACCCTCTGCACAGGCTGTTCCCGTGGGTGCTCAGGGGGCTGCTTCCTGGCCCCAGCCCAGCTCGAACAAGCAGGAGGGACCAACCCCATGTGCCCAGGTAAGGGGAGATGTCACTCATGTTACCTCCCCGACCATTTGCAAGAGGCATGAGCGCTGCCTGGCCAGCCGCGGGTGCCCTGGCATGGGGAGAGGGACCTTGCGGTGCTCCCCCGGGGCAGGACTAAAGCAGCTGCAGCCCTGCTGGGGGAGTCAGGACATCCACAGGTAACAAAGCAAGGGCTGCCCGAAACATGAAGGAGGCAGAGGAGGGAAAAAAGCTCATCCAGATTCAGAGAGGGAAATGCAGAGTGAGGTGCCTGTGCCAGGGACAGCCAAGTACCCACAGGATGCGCAACTTCACACGCCAGTTCCCGTCCAGCTCAGCAAAGGCGTTGGAGATGGAGACTTGCAGGCCCTCGTTGGGGACCAGGGAAATCTGCGAGTGTGGCAACTGGAAATCGCGAAGGTTCAATCTGAAATAATAAAGTAAAATAAAATAAAATAAAATAAAATAAAATAAAATAAAATAAATAAATAAAATAAAATAAAATAAAATAAAATAAAATAAAATAAAATAAAATAAATAAATAATAAATAAAATAAAATAAATAAAATAAAATAAAATAAAATAAAATGGCATGTGAGAGTGAGTGCCTCACACTGGATGCCCAGCTGGGGAGGGCAGGAGCGAAGGCACCGTGCCGGCAGCATCCCCAGCTCCCATCCTGCTCCCACTGGCAGGGCTCACCCGGAGATCTCGTAGCGCACCTTCCCCAAGACCGGGATTCGGGATTCACCCGAGATGTCTTGCAGCTTCAGCTGGGCCAGCTCCTCCTCCAAGATAGCAACCCCGTGCTGCTTGGCTGTGGGGGCAAAGAAACAGCATCATGGTCATGCACTCCCAAGGGAGCCAAGAGCGTGCAGCAGGTGCATGGCAAAAGGGTTAAAGGAGACACCAGTGGCCTGGCTGCTCTCCACTGTGCAAGCTCTTGCTGGAGCTAATCTTTGTGCAGCACAGAGCCCTGCAAGTTTGCAGGCATTGCCTAATGTCTGCCTGCTTGCAAGCCCTGGGGAAGGTGGCAGCCAGGCAGCAGGAAAAAGGAGGAGCCGGTCCCGTGCAGCAGCTCCGTGCTGCTCCATGCCCTGTGCCAGCAGGCAAAGCCAGGCAGAGCCCCCGTCCTGGGGTATGGGCGAGTGCTGCAGCCCTGCACCCATCTGGGAAGGGGAGCCACGTCCTCCCCCGACAGCTAGCAAAGCCGCTGGGTAAATGAGCTGTTTCTCACACAGTGTATTTCAATCCATAACACCGCACCGCTGGAGCTGGGGCCCTGCCTGCCTCAATAAACCCAGCACAGAGCCCATCCATCTCCGTCACCGCCTTCCTGGCACCTCCCCACCGCCTCCCTCCACCGCAGCTCGCTCCTCTGGGGCTCAGACTTGGCTGCCTGGATGCGTGCCATGAGCGGGGGGCCCTCCTGCCCCGCCAGCCCTGTGCCTCCTCGAGCCGGGGTCTCCCCTGTTGCCACCTGAGTGCAGCCCCCAGACCCCCTCAGGGCCTGGCTGCTCTGCACGGACTCAGTGGAGACAGCAGCAGGAGCAGATGGGGACATCAGGGTGATGCTGCCTTTGGCACTCATGGCCAAGGCTGCCCCTGTCCTGCCCCAGAACTGCATGAGCATCCAGCTCTGCACCTCAGCCACCAGCACCTGCAAGAGAGGAGGGAGATTAGGAGCTGAACCCACCATAGTCCAAGCCTGCCTGGGTGATCCTGACCACAAAGCCAGGGTTGGTGGCCCCACTGAGCGCCAGTCCCAAAGCCAGCACGGTGCTGGCCACCAAAAGGCTCCGCACTCCCATCCTGGCTGTCTGACGGTGCCGTGCTGCTGCCTGGCTCTCTCTGCCCACAGCGCCTTTATATCCACACCAAAAGGGGAACTGCGGATGAAGCAGGATGCAGATCCGCTTCTGCAGCCCACGCGGGGCATCCCCTCAGCCTGGTGCTTCCTGCTTGGCCGCTGCCCCGCTCCCAAAGCGGTGGGGAAGGCCGGTGAGGACCGGGAGCTAACGGCCTCAGCCCCGTGCCAGGGGCTCGCAGCCCCTCCCCACTGCAGCAGCTGCCCAGGCACAGACGAGCCGCTGGCCTCGGCTCCCTGCTGCTGGCTGAGTTTATGGGGCACTTGTTTGCTTTTTGCCCTGCCCGGTTGCTTTGCCCTCCGCCCAGCAAAGGCTGCCCCCGTCCTGCCCCGTGGGGCCCCTGCTGTGCCCTGACAGCTGCCACCAGCACGATCCAGACCTGTCCAAGTCGCTGGATGTAGCGTTACCAGTGGAACAGCCTTGGGGCAGAACAAGGGCTAAAGTTACGTCTTTTTGTGTCCTGCAAGTAAATCCCAAGCCACCTCACACCCAGGGACTGGCCAAGAGGCCCCTGCCTCAGGTTGTGAGTGCCCCCAGCTCTCCCAGGCCTGCTTTCCAGAGGAGCTGCCTCACCTCATCCACCTCCTTTGTCCTCGTGTAGCCGTTCTTCTGCAGGATGGCCCAAGCGATCTCTGTATCATTGACGTTCATCTGGCAGCCGTAGGTCTCCAGGTACACTGCAACAAAGGCAGAGATGGGGGTGACACAGATGTCCGCCGTGAATCGATCTCTCATTTACAAGTTCTTTCTATGATCCCCTCCACAGGAAGGAAGCAGCAGTCCCACAAGAGGCAAGCTGCACAACAGGTACTTTCCCTTCCAGCTGATACAGAAAAGACAAGCCAAAATTAAAGGCAGGCTCTGCTGGTGGCACCGGGAAACCCGAATGCCCCCGAGCACATCACTCCAACACCAGAGGCCTGGACGGTGGCAAGCAGAGGGGCTGCAGCTCCTGCCCTACTGAGACACGGCTCTCGGTGCAATGAATGCCCCTCTCCCTGCAATGAATGCCCCTCTCCCCTGGGCACTGCACCCTGCGAGCCCTGCCACAGCTGCTGCTGGCAGCCCGGGGCGCCCACAGCCCCGCAGCTCGCCCACCACGACCCCCACCGGGGCTGCAGCCTGGCCTCGGCCCAGCGGGCAGGGCAGGGCCCGGCGGCACCGACCTGTGCCAGACCCGGCGGCAGCGCCCCGCTCCGGCCCGGTGGACGGTGGCGGCCCGGGGGGGGCCCTCAGGAAATGCCTCAGGTCCGGCCCCGCGGGCAGCGCGGCCCCGCGGCCCCTCGGCCGCTCGCCGGGCCCGCAGCTCGCTCCGCGGGAGGCCCCGGGGCTGGCAGCCACCGAGCCGAGGCGCCCGGCCGCCCGCAGCACGCGGCCGCAGCCCTGCATGGCCGGGACCGGGACTGGGACCCGGGACGGGGACGGGGACGGGGACGGGGACTGGACCGGGACGGAGGCGGCGCGGCCCCGGTGTGCGCCGCCAGCAGCGGCCCCGCCGCGTCCCCGCCCCGCGTCCCCACGTTCCGCTCCGGCACCGTTCCGCCGGTCCCTGCAGCGTCCCAGCCCCCCCCCCTAAAATAAATAAAGGCAAAAGCGCGATCGTGCCCGGTGTTTTTGACATAAAGGTGTCCTAAAAGGCCCTCCCGGCCCCCTCCCCGCCCCGGTGACAGCACACGAAGGGGGATGGAACGAGGCAGGAACAGGAGTGATTTCCATGTGGTGTTTTTATATAAAATGCTCAGAGAGGGACGCAGCCCCCCCACAGGGCGCTGGAAGCCCCCCTGGCTGAGCAGGGCTTCGTACAGCACCGCGGGGAAGCTCTCGCTGGAGGTGAAGCACATGCAGGAGGGGAAAATGCCGCCAGGCCTCGTCCCGAGCCTCAGGCTCTGTCAGCCCCAGCCTGGTGGTGGTCGGTGGCAGGAGAGGGCCCAGGACCCGCAGCAGCGGCGATTTGGGGTGGGCAGGGCCCACCCGGGTCCCCTCAGCCCAGCCCGGGCCGTGGGGCTCGGCCCCTGGGGTGGTTCTGGCCCCCGCCCGTGCGTCCTGCGGTTTGTCCTCTGGCTGCTCGGGCCGGGGCGGCCGATGAGTCAGGGTCTGGCAGAGCCGCTTGTTTGCTGTCTCGGCGGCGGGGACGGCGGCAGGGAGCTGGGGTTGGGAGCCAGGGGTGCGGGATGGGAACCAGGGAACCCTCGGAGGGGCAGCACGGGGCAGGCGAGAGGGGGGCGTTGTCGGCGCTGAAGGTCGCTGTAGTCGTCTTATCTGCCTCGCCTGGGCTGGTAGAGAACGTTGGCTCCAAAGAGCAGGAAATTCTAGGAGAAGGGGAGAGGAAGTCTGTGATGTGTCCTTGCAGCTGCTTTGCTGTTAGAGCCAGCCCTGCTCATCACCCGACGCTCTGGGGAGGGAGCGTGGGCACTGTGGTTCTGCCATCCTTGGCTAATTTTAGCTCCGGAAGGGCTCTGAAGATGTTCCACAGCCACACCCCTGCCAGTAATCATCCAGCACCCAGGCTGTGGCACTCCTCCGGGGCCTCCCCGGGCCTCCCCAAGTGAAGGATTCCTCCCTCCTGCCTGGGTCCGGGGCTGCAGCTGCTCGGCTGCACCACGCACAGAGCCCCGCCAGGCTCGGGGCTAAGCTGCCGCTGAGCTCCACTTACTATAAAAAGTGTCATGGGAATTCGGGCCCCGGTTTTAAAATCTGCAGAACACGGCCCTGCCTGAGCCACTGCCGTGTGTGAAATTTGCTTCATTCCCCCTTCTCCAGGCACCTTGCCTGGCCCCCGCCTCTCAGGGACGAGTGGCAGGACCGGCTCCAGACCCTCCACTCACCTCATGAAACTGCACGATGGGGTCGGAGAGCTGTACTTGGGCTGGCAGCGGCAGAGGGAAGCCCTTACCTAATCTCTCTGGAAAAGAAAACACACACAGCTGTGTTGGAACGAGAAGCGAGAGGGAGCAAGGGGCCGTGCAAAGCAGGCAGCCACTTCCTACCCCCAGCCCTTCCTTTGCCCCCCCTGCCCTGGGAAGGCAGAGGGAGCTCCTCCAGGCTACGCTAAGGCCTGGGGGCTTCACGTTGTGCTGTGCCCCTGGGGCCCCTGGCAGCCTCCAGCCCCGCTCTGGCCTGATTTGTTCAGCTGTAATGAGAAGCAGCGAGCGGGAGAGAGGGTCTGGAAAGCATTAGGATGTGTGTCAGGCTCATTTTTTCCATTGCGTTCACTTCTGGATGTGTGTCACAGTGCAGAGAGACTCCCGCACTCAGTTACCCACAGCCCTCCTCTGCCAACCCCAAACACGCCGGCCGCTGCCTCCTCTCTGCAGGTTTTACCTCCCGAGCAGGCCTGGCAACAGGGGCTTAGTTAACAAACTGATGGAGTGACCTGAGTGGTGTCTGTTCCAGCAGCCCCATTCCCCCCAGCAGGTTATTACCATTAAGACGTGGCAGCAGGATACTGGAGGCAACTACGTTCATTATTGACTGCACCATTTTCACCTGGAGATACGGAGAGAGGGAGAAGGAAAAGTGCTTTAGTCTGTGGGAGAGCAGGTGACCAGATCCCGCAGGATAATTAGGAAGAGTAAAATAAAGCAGAAGCTGGGATGGGTGCACGCTTCACCAGAGACCTACAGTTTTGTCTCGGCCATGCTGGCGGAGTAGGAAGCATAGGGGTGAAAAAGGGGATAGTGGCCAGCTCTGCTCCCTCGCCCAGGCTCACAGGGAGGTGCCCGTGGGGTCAGCATCCCTTGGTGGTGGGGGTGAGGAGGTGAGTCCCTTCCTCAGCACCTGGCAGGCTCCCACCTCCATGTCAGGAACAGCTTACCTTGAAAGTGCCGGTGCCGACATTTGAATGCTTCAGTGTGAGGTTCATACTGTGCGGAGGGAAGCAGAGCTTTGCAGTGCCCGTGGCCAGTCCCATTCCCTCCAGCCCCAGCTCATCCCCTCTGCCCCAGGTCCCCATCCCCAGCACCCCCCTCAGCAGCGGTTCATCGGGACCTGCAGCTCACCTGCCCAGGGCCAGGCTCCCAACCATGCGGCCGGACTGCACGTCCGCGGTGGCAGACACGTTGCCTGTCTGAGGAAAGAGGCAGAGCTCTGGCAGTGCCCCCCCAGCACCCCCCAAAACAGGCGCAGGGGGCTCAGAGCAGCCCAAAGGCAGCCAGACCGCCCTCCCATCAGGGCCCCGTTCACACCCGGCATGAAAACCAGCATTTGTGAGCTCGGGTATTTCTGCTGAGGTCACCCCATGTGCCCGACCTGGGCTGGTTGCAGGAGGCAGCTCTCAGCAGGAGCACAGCATGGATGGCACAGGATTGCCAAACACGATGGGAGGGGGCTGCACAGCTTCGGAGCTCCCACCTTTGCTCACCGAGGTGCAGGCAGTGGCTCACAGGGCACCATGTCAGACTGGGGCTGTGCGAGGGGCTCCCCAGCCGGGCCCAGTGACCCCACCGCAGCCCTGGACCCCAACTCACCAATCCGAGGAGGAAGAGGGGGGCCAGGTTGCCGTTGGGATAGATGGCGTAAGCCTGGATGTCCACAACAGGCTGGAGCGAGACCCCGTTTGTTCCGATGTTCAGGAACGGGGCGGAGGGAGCAGACAGCCTGAACTTCATTGGCATGTTGGGGTACATCTCGTCCAGCTGCAAAGGAGCAGGGAGAGGGGAGGAACTGCAGCACAAAACCTCCTGTGGCTCTGCAGCCTGCTGCTGCTGAGCTCCTTCCCGTGCCAGCAGCTCATGGAGTGCAAGGATGCAGTACCCAGAGCATGGCCCCACTGTGAACCCCCCTCACTGGGAACCTGGGGCTGGGCTCTCTGGGGGGGCTGCCTCACACAGAGCCTGTGCTGGGCAGGGCTGGGGCTCACCTGGGGAAGGAAGGCCGCGAAGGTGGAGGTGTTCAAACGGAATTCGATGTCCTCCGGGATCTGCGGGAGGAGGATGGTTACTGCCCGGCACTGCAGCGTGGTGCTGGGGCAGGATCAGCCCCTCGAGCCCCTCGTGCAT